AACAGTACTTTCTAAGTTGCTGAATGTTTTGCTTAATTGCAGTATTTTACATTACTTGTTAATGAATTGAGCATCTGGCTCCATCTCCTTGTCAAAATGTATATAACAGTATTACGAAAACAATACTCACGCAGCATCCGTTTGTAGAGGATTCAGGTATCGTCCTTGTTCTAAGTTTAACCTATAAACTTCAGAACTGTAAAGTAATAAAGAAAGTTAAAAATCTGCTAAACTACAATAAAATTTTCTTTAAATGTAAGTTTTATAAATACATATCACTCATAAGACATTACTTCCTTTTGTAAAAGTGATACAAAGACGTATCCTAAATCTGAAAAATACTCACCTTATTTATGAATTTGTTAATGTACAGAAGTGATTTAAACCACTCATGTGCCAAGGAAATACTGTGAAGTCATTAGGTAGAATACTATTTACAAATAACATGGAGAATACAAGATCCCAAAGTACATGTAATGTATCTACATATGCATAGAAGGGACTAGAAGGAAACATAATATGGATTCCCTCTGGGCGGTATAATTACGGCTGAATTTTTTGGGTTTCTTTTTTTTTTTGTGACAGAGTTTCGCTCTTGTTGCCCAGGCTGGAGTCCAACAGCACAATCTCAGCTCACAGGCGCCCGCCACCACACTGGCTCATTTTTTGTATTTTTAGTAGAGATGGGGTTTCACCATATTGGCTAGGCTGGTCTCAAACTCCTGACCTGAGGTGATCTGCCCACTTCGGCCTCCCAAAGTGCTGGATTACAGGCATTAGCCACCGCGTCCGGCCTGAATTTTTTTCTTTTCTACATTTTCCCAATTTTCTAAAATGAATATGTATTTAGATTTTTTTTATGCATTATATATGGATACACAATAGCCACCAGCCAAATGCCTGGCCAAAAGCTACCTTTTTGATGACTCCAAATATAATACAGGCCAGGTACAGTAGCTCACACCTGTAATCCAAACATTTTGTGAGGCCCAAGCAAGAGGATCATTTGAGCCCAGTAGTTCGAGACCAGCCTGGGAAACATAATGAGACCCCATCTTTATAGAAAGCAAAAAATAGACTCTTTTCCTTTTCAGTTCACAGCTTTTAAGGCCCTGCACTGAAAATGCATGCTCAGGCGCTGACGGTTGTTGTGACCCAAGCTGGACTCGGTCCCACACCCCAGGACTCCAACTGGCAGGCAGGCATGTGACGGCTGCAGCGACGGCGGAGTCTGTCTCTGCGGTGCACTGTGTTGTGTGCTTTGGGTGTCAAATTGCAGCTGACGTGAATTAACGTTGTCTGTGTGGAACAGGCGTCACAATGAGGACTCTCTATAGGACCCGATATGGCATCCCTGGATCTGTTGGGGATGACTATTTGGCAGCCCTTTGCTGTCCTCATTGTTCTCTTTGCCAAATCAAGAAAGAGATCAACAGAAGGAGAGCCACGCATGCTTTCTAAAAACTGATGATGAAAAGCTCTTGTTGAAGCAACAAGTCAGCAGACACCTCTTCAGCTTGAGTTCTTCACCAACAAATTTTTGATTTTTTATAAATGAATGTTGTCCCTGAGCTTATCTAAATCGTCTAGCTTAGTTTCTCCTCACTTTCCTATTATCAAATTTTCTGGCTTACAAACTTTTTAAATTACACTTGAAATATAAACCAAATAAAAGATTTTACTGACACAAAAAAAGTAAAAATAAAAACAAAAAGGTGCTTAGAATAAAAAGCTTTAAAATACTGTGCAATAGGGCTAAGAAACTGACTTTATCAACTAGATTATACATGTATATCTCCAAATTCAGCATCATACTAAACAGAAGCCCAAAATGTAATATCTAAATAAGTAAGTCACGTAGGAATTAGACCCTTTAAGCAACTTAAAAGCAGAGACCATGTCTCATTCTTCTTTAAAGAAATCAGTCCTTCAAATATTGCTGTATTTTCAGGGGATAAAAAGGGGGTTTCTATTGAAATTATACTAAATTTTTGCCTACAATTTATCTCATTAAATATTGTACATAAACTGCCAATACTGATAGCCAAATAGATAACACTAATGCTTTGTTTAAGGGAAAAAAAAAATACAGGCCAAGCATGGTGTCTCACGCCTGTAATCCCAGCACTTTGGGAGGCTGATGCGGGCGGATCACCTAAGGTTAGGGGTTTGAGACCAGTCTGACCAAAAAATTAGCCAGGCGTGGTGGCCCATGCCTGTAATCCCAGCTATTCGAGAGGCTGAGGTAGGAGAAATCGCTTGAACCCAGGAGGCAGAGGTTGCGGTGAGCCGAGATTGCGCTATTACGCTCCAGCCTGGACTACAAGAGCAAAACTCCATCGCAAAACAAACAGGCCAGGTGCAGTGGCTCACGCCTGTAATCCCAGCATTGTTGCAGGCCAAGGAGGGTGGATCACCTGAGGTTAGGAGTTCGAGACCAGCCTGGGCAACATGGTGAAACCCCATCTCTACTAAAAATACAAAAATTAGCCGGGCATGGTGGTGGGGGTATCTGTAATCCCAGCTACTTGGGAGGCTGAGACAGGAGAATTGTTTGAGCCCAGGAAGTGGAGGTTGCAGTTAGCTGAGATCACGTCACTGCACTCCAGCCTGGGCGACAGAGTCAGACTCTGTTTCTAAAAATAAATAAATAAATAAATATATAAATAAATAAATAAAGAAGAAATTAATTACTGATATGGAACAAACTTAAAGTAGAGGCAGAAATCTGGAAGATAAACAGGTAAATAAAACAATATTGTGTCTCATAAATTGTGACAATTGGGCTATACTGAAAAGACTCACGCACTTCCCATCAGTATTTCCCAATGAGACAGGTAACTATCACAGATATATATATTTTTAAAATAAATATATATATTTTTTAAAGAG